GTAATGTACTGTACATCGACACCTGAGTGGTGCCATGTACATCGACACGTGAGTGGTGCCATGTACATCAATGGACAAGTAAGCAGTGCTGAGCATGTCTATGGACAGGTGAGAGTTTCTATGGAAATCCATTGACAAGTCAACATTGGTAAGGATGTCATCAACAAGTGAGTGGAGCCATGTATGTACATTGGTGAGTAAGCAATGCTGAGTATATCCATGGACAAGTGAGCTGTGCAATGGTTCCTGTGGATGTCCATTGACAAGTGAGTGCTGGCGAAGGTGTCCATGGACAAGTGAGCCGTGCTATGATTGTACGCTACATTGAGTAGTAAGTAGTATCATTGATATCCATGGACAAGTTAAAGGTGTCACAGATTTCACTGGCAAGTAATGTTGTGGATGTCCATGGACAAGTGAATGGTGGCTTAGATGTCCATGGGTGAATGAGTAGTGCCATTGATGTCCATGGACAAGTGAGAGGTGTCATAGACGTCCACTGACCAGTGAATAGTGCCATGGATGTCCACGAGTAAGTATGTGGTCAGGTGGATGTCCATGGACAGGTAAGTGGTGCACTGTATGTACACTGCCAAGTGAGTGATGCCTTGGATGTTCAAGGACAAGTAGTGCCATGGATGTCCATGGACAAGTGAGCTGTACTGGGGGTGTCCACTGGCAAGTGAACGATAACAATGCTGTCCATGTATAAATGGTGCCATGGATTTCCATGGACAAGTGAAGGGTGGGGTGGATGTACATTGATAAGTGCAACAGATGTCCAGGGACAAGTAAGCAATGCCAAGAAGTCCATTGAGAAATGAGAGGTGCCATAAATGTCAATGGACAAGCAGTGAGGATGTCCATGGGCAAGTAAGTAGTACCATGTATGTTCACTGACAAGTAAACCGTGCCGTGGACGTCCATTGACAAGTGAGTGATGCCATGGATGTCTATAGACAAGTGAGCAATGCCCGAGCCAAGGATCTTCATAAACAGATTCATTCAGATTTACATCTACTGTAACTCATCCGAACTTGTTTTCGAATTGGATACACTTTGGAAGAATAAATTCTTTTATTTAATGCTCTTGGTTCCATGACCCCATCGGAGAGATTTTGCCTCACACTTTCTCTGTTCCTGTGACAGCAGGACAAGAAATGAGGAACTGAATTGTCTTTGGAGCAGTAAGAACAAAGGGTGGTTTCAATCTTTCCCAATGTAATGGGAAGGAAAATGTTTTTTTTTTTAAACTTACCATAAATACTTTTTTTTGGAGACCTTTGAGGGTCAGAGGAAATCCCTCACCTATGGGTTGTACTGCCATCTACATGCTAGGCCAGGATAACCTGTTATGGTACCAGAAGGCTTCAGTTTCGTAACAAAGCAATACCAATAGCATGATCATAAACAGAAGGGTCCTTTCATGGACTCCAAGAAAAGGATTTTACTGTGAGTACAAAAAAAATCTATTTTTCTTTCGTGCATTGAGGGACCCGGGAAGTCTTTTTACTTTCCAGATGTCCTAAAGAAGCCCATGAGAGGTGCAACACAGCAAATAAATGCTAACAGGCCCAAGAAACTGAGAACTGGGGACTTCCTTCAGCTTAAAAAGACACCTGAAATACCTTACGTTTGAAGCTGGCACCAGACATAAATAACTGATATTAGAGAACAGTTTAACAAAAAATCATGTGGCAACCTTCTAAATGTGGGAAACAGTTGCTTAAAGCTGAAAATACAAAGAAGCACTCACAGATCTGGTAGAGTGCACCTTAACACAAAAGGGTGGAACATGATCCTGAAGACCATAAGCGTAGATGATGGTCTACAAAAGCCACCTTGAAATGGTGGAACGAGAAGCTGTAGGAACCTTATGGGGTCCATCAGGGTTTACAAAAAGAGGAACAGTCTTCCTAAAGGAAGTAGTGGCTAACACAGGGCTTAAAATTTCAAGTTCTGAGCTACTAGCCAGGCCTTAAGAGTTACTCACCACCAACAAACACACACAGAAACATGTACACACACACAGGCGCGTACAGACATGAATACACACAGATACGTGTACATACGCACAAACACATGTACATACATACACACAAATACACACACGTACATGCACACACAGACACGTACACACACATACATGTACATAAACACAGACACATGTACACACACACATACACACATGTACATACACACAGACACATGTACACACACACACATAAAAAGTTGCAGTACTTCCTTGTTCACACACAGAGCCGGGTACTGCACTCTAGGGGGAGGCAGAGAGCACAGCACGCACTTCTTCCTTTTGCTTTGACTGTGCTCAGCTATTGAACAGTCAGACGGCCCCCAGTGCCAATCACAGATCCAGCCCGAGCTCCGAGCCTGCTCAGCAAGACGGCCCTGGGGGACACACTCGCCCCCACCATAATTTCCACTCGCCATTGGCGAGTGGAAATTTCAAGCCCTGGGCTAACAGATGAACCCACAGTCCAAAACACGTCCAGACATTCAAGGGAGATTACCTTTGGATGACCTGAAACTGGACAGTGGGACAGAAGAATGATGTTCTTGTTGAGATATAAGGTAAGAAATACCTTAAGCAAGAGGGATGCAAATCCAAGGAATGTCACCTTGTGGGTGAGTGTAGAGAGAGGAGTGCCTCTAAACCAGTGGTTCTCAACCTGGGGGTCGAACGACCCTTTCACAGGGGTCCCCTAGACCATCAGAAAACACATATTTCCGATGTGTAAAGAGCAGCTACTGTGTAGAAAGCAGCTGCTGTGTTGAAAGCAGCTACTGTGTTGAAAGCAGCAGTATTGGAGGTAAAACGACACTCATGAATTATAATTACTGGGTAAATAATTTTATGGTTGGGGGTCACCACAACATGAGGAACTGTATTATAAAGGGTCACGGCATTAGGAAGGTTGAGAACCACTGCTCTAAAAACGGTGGTTTTGGAAGCACAGAAAGAATCAAATCCCACTGAGTCACAAGGTAACCAACAGAAGGAACTTCATGGGAGACCCCCTGTAAAAGGTTTTAAGGAGTGAGAGGCCAATGGTCTCTGAAACCGGATAGGGCAGAAACCTGGCCTTTGATGGTGCTGGGAGCCAAACGCTGGTCCAATCCTAGAGAATTCTTCCCACAGAGAAACTTCTAGGGAGAAAATCCCAAGACTCTCACGAAGTGTAGTATACCTGCTGTGTTCAGCAAAAGACCTTGCAGAAAGCATCCTTCCTAGCTTCTAGCATTGCGGGAATCACAGATTCAGGGAAATCCTGTCCCTCAGAAACTGCTCTTCAACAATCATGCCTTTAAAGCTAGCAGCCGTGAAGCAGAATAGTAAATTGGTTGTTGAGACAGAAGATCTGCAGAGCCCACAGAACATTTGCCAGTCCTGAGCAATGAGGATGACCAGAATGCCCTCCATCTTAATTCTGAGAAGCACAGAAACTGTTGCAAGGGAGAAAGGGCATAGATCAGGGTGTACGGATTCCACTGAGCCACTGGAGCTTTCACAGTTTCCGCTAGAGGATTCCTGTACTTTGAGACAAACCTGTCTAGTTTGTTGTTGAACCTGAGGGCAACGTCTGGTGCCCCTGACCAGTGACACAGGTCCTGAAACTACCGCGGGTGTAGAGACCACGTCTGAAGGTCCATGTTCTGCCAGCGGTTATCTATGCCTGGTATGTAGATGATGAACAAGGCTGTAACATGACGTTCTGCCCAAGACAGGATCTGACCTACCTTTTTTTTTGCAACAGCCAGAGTTCTGTTTTCTCCCTAATGGTTGATGTACGCCACCACTGACTCTAAATCTAATAACTCTTTCGCAGGATGGTCCAATGCTGCAGAGACAGCTAAGTTGCCTGAAGCTTCAAGATGTTAAACAGGAGACTGGAGAACAGGAGATTCCTTAGAGAACCATGTCCCTTGCACAGACAGGGTGACCAGAACTCCACAAGCCCAGCAGGCTTGCATCCGCTATGAGGAATATCCCAAAAATGAACCAACAGCTTGAATCAAAGACCAGAGAATTTGTAGTTTCTCCTGTTGAAGAAACACTCTGGTCTGAGCGGTATCAAAGACTAGACCATAACACTCCAAATTAGTGGTGAAAATTCTGGTGCCGAAACCAAAAATTCAAAATGCACTTGGCCAAAAACTGAAATTCGTACTTTTTAAAAATGAATATATATATTTTTTTTAAAAAAAATACACTTTGATTAAAAAAAACAAAAAAACCCCCACAATATATACCCCAATTTTTTTGTAAAATATGAAAGAGGATGTTACTGCGAGCAAATAGATACCCAACATGTCACACTTTAAAACTGCGCAAACTCGTGGAATGGCGTGAAACTGCGGTACTTAAAAATCGCCATGGGTGATGCTTTAAACATTTCTACAGGTTAGTAGTGTACAGTTACAGAGGAGATCTAGTGCGAGAATTATTGCTCTTGCTCTGACATTCGTGGCGATACCTCACGTGTGTGGTTTGAACACCATTTACATATGTGGGCATGGGCTACGTGTGCGTTCACCACTACGTGCGAGCACGGGGGCAATTTAACCCCTCGCCTACAGGGCACTTATACCCCCTTCCTGCCCAGGCCAATTTCCAGCTTTCAGCGCTGTTGCACTTTGAATGACAATTGCGCAGTCATGCAACACTGTACCCATATGAAATTTTTATCATTTATTTGTGACAGATAGAGCTTTTTTTGGTGGTATTTAATCACCTCTGGGTATTTTATTTTTTCTTAAAGAAACCAAAAACCACTGAAAATTTTGAAAAAAAAAAAAGTTTTAGTTTTTGTTATAAAATTTTGTAAATAAGTGATTTTTCTCCTTCACTGATGTGCGCTGATGAGGCTGCACTGATGAGGAGGTGGCACTGATGGGGAGGCATTGACAGATGGCATTGACAGGCATTAAAGGCAAAACACTCATATATGGCACTGACAGGCGAAACTGATAGGCAGCACTGATGCACACTGATAGGCAGCACTGACTGGCATTGATAGGTGGCACTGACTGGCACTGATGGGTGACACTGAAAGGCAGCTCAGATGGGCACTGTTATGTGGCATGGATGAGCACTGATGGACACTGACAGGTGGCGCTGCTGGGGCTACACTGATCATCAGTGCTCTGATGATCAGTGTACATGTTCCTTCCGATTAATGCCGATTACCGGCTCTCCTCTGTCAGTGTGACAGCTCGTGGGGAAAGAAATGCCAATAACCAGCATTTCCCTGTTTACATGTGATCAGCTGTGATTGGACACAGCTGATCACATGACCGAGTCGACATCTTCGGCTCTTTCCGTGGATCGGTGATCCTCTGTGTCTGAGGGACACAGCGCACCGCCGATCACCCTGAGCCTCTGCACATGCACAGTTAGAATGGGAGGACATCATATGACGTCCTCCCAGAATGAGAGAACCACCTTGCGTCTGTCATATACTATATGGCGGGCGGGAGGCGGTTAAACTTGTTTTTTATTATTACTTATTCTTTTTTTTTTTTTTTTTTTGCACTGTCCCTTTAAAAAAATTTTTTTAATCATGTTTATTCTTATCACAAGCAATGCATGCATCCCATGTGATAGAAATAATTAGTGACAGGTCCTCTTTATGGAGAGATGTGGGGTCAATAAGACCCCACATCTCTTCTCTGCAATGTAAAGCATTAGATAAAAAAAAAGCATTGATCTATTGCTTAAAAAAAAAAAAATGTCCAGAACCGGAAGTTACATCGCTCTGGTTCTCCAAGGGCATAAAGATGACTGGAGGCCATCTTTTCTTCACTAATCTCTATGCCCAGCGCTGGGATCGTTTGATGGTTTCCCAGGTAAGGCTGAGAACTACTGAGTGGCGGGATTTTTTCAGCACTTGTATCGGTGCTTTCTTTCATATCGGCTGACAACCGAAAGGGGCGTTTACAGCCGAAACATTTTGGCCACCAAAATTTCATTGCATCCTTACTCCAAATGATAAGTTGGTTCCACTGGAGATTTCTGAAGGTTCACCCGTACCACTGTAACGTATGGACAGTCAAAACTACATTGTTCAGCAGAGCCTGTGCCAACTGTTCCTTCTACAGCAGGTTGTCTACGTATTCCACAATGAGGCTGCCACAAGAGCACAGTAGAGCTAATACTGCGGTGAGCAGTTTTGTGAATGCTCGAGGTGCTGCAGACAAGAGACCAAAGGGAAGTACCCCACAATGGTAGGGTAGAGGCCCCGAAGCAACACGTAGGAAACATTAATGCACTAGAACGATGGGAACTTGTAGGTATGCCTCCTTGACTCCTACAGAAGGTGATGACAGACCTGATGACTTTAATGCAGTATTTCTGGCCTCCAAAGAAGACATTTAACCACTTGAGCTCTGAAAGATTTTACCCCCTTCTTGAACCGGCCATTTTTTTTTATTCGGCTCTGTGCTAATTTAACTGGCAATTGTGCGGGCATGCAACATTGTAATTAAATTTATACTATTTTTTTCACACAAATAAAGCTTTCTTTTGGTGGTATTTGATCACCACTGGGTTTTTATTTAATGAAAAATTTTGAAAAGAAAAAACTTTTACTTTCTGCTATAAAACACACACACATTTATATACACACACACACATATATATATATATATATATACACATACACATACATACATACACACACACACACACACACACACACACACACACACACACACACACAGTGAAGGAAATAAGTATTTGATCCCCCGCTGATTTTGAATGTTTGCCCACTCACAAAGAAATGATCAGTCTAAAAATCGAATGGTAGGTGTATTGTAACACCGAGAGACAGAAGAGCAACAACAAATTCAAAAGAAATGCATGTCTAACAAATGATGACTGATTTGCATGTTCATGAGGGAAATAAGTATTTGATCCCCTATCATTCAGCAGGATTTCTGGCTACCAGGTGTCTTTCATACAGGTAACAAGCTGACATTAGAAGCAGTCTCTTAAAGGGAGTGCTGCTAATCTCATTTTTGTTACCTGTATAAAAGACACCTGTCCACAGGAGCAATCAAACAATCAGATTCCAAACTCTCCACCAAGGCAAAGACCGAAGAGCTGTCCAAGGATGTCAGGGACAAGATTGTAGACCTACACAAGGCTGGACTGGGCTACCAAACTATCGCCAAGCAGCTTGGTGAGAAGGTGACAACAGTTGGTGCAATCATTCGCAAATGGAAGAAACACAAAACAACTGTCAGTCTCCCTAGGTCTGGTGCACCATGCAGGATCTCACCTCGTGGAGTGTCAATGATCATGAGAATAGTGAGGAATCATCCCAGAACTACACGTGAGGATCTTGTCAATGATCTCCAGGCAGCTGGGACCACAGTCACCCAAGAAAACAATTGGTAACACACTATGGCGACAAGGATTGAAATCCTGCAGTGCTCGCAAGGTCCCTCTGCTCAAGAAAGCACATGTCCAGGCCAGTCTGAAGTTTGCCACTGAACATCTGAATGATGCAGAGGAGGACTGGTGGGAAGTGTTGTGGTCAGATGAGACCAGAATCGAGCTCTTTGGCATCAACTCAACTCGCCATGTTTGGAGGAGGAGGAATGCTGCCTATGACCCCAAGAACACCATCCCAACTGTCAAACGTGGTGGTGGAAACATTCTGCTTTGGGGGTGTTTTTCTGCTAAGGATACAGGACAACTGCACCGCATCAAAGGGACGATGGACGGGGCAATGTACTGTCAAATCTTGGGCGAGAACCTTCTTCCCTCAGCCAGGGTATTGAAAATGGGTCGTGGATGGGTGTTCCAGCATGACAATGACCCAAAACACACGACCAAGGCAACAAAGGAGTGGCTCAAGAAGAAGCACATTAAGGTCCTGGAGTGGCCTAGCCAGTCTCCAGACCTTAATCCGATTGAAAATCTGTGGAGGGAGCTGAAAGTTCGAGTTGCCAAACATCAGCCACCAAACCTTAACGACTTGGAGAGGATCTGCCAAGAGGAGTGGGCCAAAATCCCTCCTGAGATGTGTGCAAACCTGGTGGCCAACTACAGGAAACGTCTGACCTCTGTGATTGCCAACAAGGGATTTGTCACCAAGTACTAAGTCATGTTTTGTGATGGGGATCAAATACTTATTTCCCTCATGAACATGCAAATCAGTGCATCATTTGTTAGACATGCATTTCTGCTGAATTTTTTTTGTTGCTATTCTGTTTCAGTGTTACAATACACCGAACATTCGATTTTTAGACTGATCATTTCTTTGTGAGTGGGCAAACATTCAAAATCAGCAGAGGATCAAATACTTATTTCCTTCACTGTATATAATTTCTTCATAAAATTAGGCCAAAATGTATTCTGCTTTGTCTTGAGTAAAAAAAAAAAATCAAAATAAATGTCTGCAAGCGATGGTGTATATATACTGGAATTTTTAGTTATACTAGTAGTGATGATGGTCAGAGACATAGTGCGGTGGGCAATCTGACACCAATACTTTGTGAGAACTGACTAACTGCCACTCACATCTCCAGTAACACCAATACAGTGATCAGTGCTAATAATATGTCACTCTACTAATGACTGGCTGGGATGGGATTAACCTCTAGGGGCAATTAAGGAGTTAACTGTGTGCATAACAATGTGTAACACGTGTAATAAGTGCTGCTTTTTACTACAGAATGATTTCTTTTTCCAGCATTGCAAAGAGAAGAAACAAAAGTGATCTTTCCCTCTGTATAGAGTGCTGTGTTGTTTGTCAACACAGGGCTCTGGGCTGCGATTCTACATAGCCAATCAGCAGGTCCAAGCCATGAATCATTGGCCGGGATCTGCCTACAATCTCCAGCTACCTCAAAACACAGGGTAGTAGGCGGGCAGGGGCACGTTTGTGCCAAAAGCAGGCATCAACATACAGATACATCGCTGTAGCTGTAGGAGCTGCCCAATCACACTATATGTACTACGGTAGGTCAGCATGCGGTTAAAGCTTTGAGAACCAGGATGGGGTGCATGCCTCCTTTGTATTTGGTAGCAGTGAACAGGTTGAATTAAAGTGATAATAAAGTCTTTTTTTTTTTTTTATTAACCACTTCCTGTCCGGACACTTTCACCCCCTTCCTGACCAGGGCAATTTTCAGCTTTCAGCGCTATCACACTTTGAATGACAATTGCGCGGTCATGCAGCACTGTACCCAAATGAATTTTTTACCATTTTTTTTTTACACAGATAAAGCTTTATTTTGCTGGTATTTATTCACCGCTGGGATTTAAATTTTTTTTGCTATGTAAATGAAAGTCCAAAAATTTTGAAAAAAAAAGTGTTTTAATAAAATTTTGCAAATAAATAATATTTCATCATAAATCTTTGCCAAAATGTATTCGTTATCATTTTAGTAAAAAACAAAAAAAATCCAAATTAGTTTATAACCAAAAATTATAATTTTTAAACATTTTTATATTATTTTTTTATTTTAATTTTTTTTTTTACATACTGTCACCCTAGCAGTACAGTGTTACCATGGTGACACTGTACTACTTGTGGGGGGTGATGATGATTTTTTTTTTTTTCTTTTTTACACTGATTGCTTTTACACCCACATAGGATGTAAAAGCAATCATTTCTCTTTCTCTCGGTCTGCATTCTTGCACTCGAGAAGTACTGAGTGAGCTGTGATTGGTCACAGCTTGTCACATGGTACAAGGCTGTTGTGAATATCCTTGCACCATGTGACCTCTGTGATCATTCACAGATTTCACACGTAGTAAGCAATGATGAAGTGACAACTTGCTTACTACTTTGCATGTGATCACTGATTGGCCAATCAGTTATCACATGATCGGGACCTTGTACAGAGGTCCCATCCGACGATTGGTGTTCCACTGTGTCCGGAGGACACAGGGCACAAGCAGGGTGCGGGGAGGCTGTTTATAAACGGCCACCCGACCCTGCACTGCCACCGTCCGGCCGTTTATATGCAACGGCTGGTCAGGAAGTGGTTAAAAATAAATCATCTTGTAGATACTGTACTTACCTGTTCTGTGCAATGATATTGCATAGCATAGTCCCTTACTTATTTGATGGTCTCCTCCCATGCCTCCCTGCTCCTCCTCTCTTCGGAGTGCTCCATTGCAAACTCTGTACTATGGGGGCACTCGTGCAGGTGCTTCTAAGCCAGCATGTGTGCATCCATAGACACACACATCACAGCTCGGCGCCACACCCCCCACTTCCTCCTTACATGACTTGACTGACAACAGCAGCAGCCTATGGCCCCCACTGCTCTCAGTGAAGCCAGGAAGTGAGGAGAGTA